TGCTCCAAGTTTGTTTAATGTTGCTCTTTATTAGGGTAAATTTATCTTTGTAGTATTTAGTTTTGGCTCGTCTAATTATCTTAGATAGCAATAATGAGTAATTCTTTGAGAATTCTTTGGAGACAATTCCTAACCTATACTTCTTCTCAAGGTCATGTTTTTTATTAAAAGATTTAAGTATTCCCTTTGTAAGCCAGGGATTGTTGAGCCTTTTGGTTGTGACTTGTTTTGTAAGCATAGGACAGTGGGTATTATAAAGGCTAAGAGTTTTTTGAAGAAAAGATTGCACTGCTAGGTTGATGTCCTCTATGTTACCTAACTCAGACTCCCAGTTGACATTATCAGCAGCAGTTATAAAATTGTCTATAGCAGTTTCATTGTGCAGTCTAAAACGTATCTCTCTTGACTCAAGAGGTGGTTTGCTAATGTTAGTTAAGAGAAATGTGGGGTAATGGTCTGTAGTGCTATCGGTGATTATACCTGAAGTAAGCGGAGAGGTTATGTTTATCCAGATGTGATCTAGAGTCGTGGCAGTGCTATCAGTGATTCTAGTAGGTCTAGTGATTAAGGGTATGAGGAAGCAGGAATTCATACAGTTGAGGAAGCTAACAGCAGTCGGGTGTTCTGGCTCGCAGAGGTCAATATTAAAGTCCCCTGCAATAATTAGGTGGTTTTTGTTCAGTCTGTTATCAAGTATTAGATTTCTAAGGTTTGAGTTGAATTCGGACACATCAGTGTTAGGAATTCTATAAACTGCACCCACAGGCAGGACAGACTTGGCACCTTTGGCTAACTGCCAACAAACTCACCCTTAACATTGACAAAACGTTTTATATTCTGTTTGGCAATAAATCCTCTAAATCAGATAAATCTCAAAATAAACAATACCCAAATTTGTAACAAATTAGACGGCAAATTCCTTGGCGTTCTCATCGACCACAAGCTGAATTTCCAGGGTCACATTCTAAATATATCAAAAAAAGTTTCAAAAACCGTTGGCATTCTTTCTAAGATCAGATATTATGTACCCCGCCCTGCCCTGGTTACTCTCTATTACTCCCTCATCTATCCATACCTCAACTATTGTATTTGTGCTTGGGGTTCTACTACCCAAAATCACTTACGTCCTCTAATTACTCAACACAAAGCTGCTATTAGGACAATATCCAACTGGCCCCAGACATCACTCGGTACCCTTACTCAAATCTCTGAATATGTTAGATATTAAGTCACTGCACATTCTCTCTTGTGTATTATACATATATAAAACGCTGAACTGTAATGCCAATCCTGACCTCAAAAGCTTCATTGAAGGTTGTAACAGAACCCATGAGCACCACACCAGAAATAAATACAGTTTTGATATTCCTAGAGTACGACTTAATCAAACTAGAAATGCTCTACAAATCAAGGGACCCAGAATGTGGAATGACCTTCCCAACCATGTTAAAGACTGTACCTCTCTCAACCAATTTAAGATAAAAACTAAACACTACCTAATAAATTCCCTGTAACCTACCTCACTCCTCTATTGTCAACCCATGTCTGTTATCTTTTTTTTAATCAACACTGTTTGTCAACCTATTGTAATTGTGCTGCTTTTTCAGTCATGTTCCCCCTTTTTTTTTTATCTTTTATTTGTATTTGTTCTCAACACTTTTTATTCTTTATGCTTAATTAGTATTAAGTTCTAGATATTAATGTTTTTCTTGCCCGAAACGCATTGCGTAATAGTGGCTTTAGGCATTGTATGTACTAGCTCTATCTATATATCAATCCATTAATGTAACATCACTTGTATGTATGTACCTTACCTGAATAAACATATTTATTATTTATTTATTTATTTAAACCGCCGGGACGTGTCCACTCACAAGGGTGAAGCAGGGGGTACCACCAAACAGAAAGCAAACCCTAGTATAACAGGGAAAAGGATAACAAAGGACTTCCCCACCAGGCAAAACGAAAAAGAAAAAGAAAACCTCGCAAGAGGACAGTGGACCCAGAAGGAATAGAGCCGGACGCTGTAATAGGTATAAACTAGCTGCGCAGTATCCTACGCCCCTACTAGTGCAAAACTACCAATTACCCCAAGGTAGACAAGGGAGGAAACCCCCCAAAACACTCGGGGCGGTCAATCGCTGAGCAGAAAAAGACCAACAGAAGTAGACCCAAGGTGACTTGTGGAAGAGAACCCCAAGCCCCAAGGGTGGTACTTACAGGGCACTCAGGGAAAGTGACCCTAAGCACATGCAGCCCAAGTATGGGTGAATATTACTCCCCAGCACGCACGCCACCATAAGAACAGTACTGAACTAGAGGACAGCACAACACAAGAGTCTGGAGCTGGAGCCACATCACCATGCCGTATCACACCAGCCAAAGAACTGAGGTGTGGATCGCTGGCACGGAGGTCTGGGGCTCCCTCCTTCCCCCTCCTGGGAATGGGGGAGTTGACCAGGGGGCCAGCAGGAAAGCAAGGAGGGGCGGGGGGGGGGGGTGCTTGGGGGGAGGGGGGGCTTCTGGGAGGGGGGCCAGGGAGAGCAGTGGGGGCAGGGGGGGAGCAAGGGGGGGTAGGGGGGAGCAGGGGGGGTAGGGGGGAGCAAGGGGGGGTAGGGGGGAGCAAGGGGGGGTAGGGGGGAGCAGAGGGGGGGTAGGGGGGGAGCAGGGGAGGAGCAGGGGGGGGTAGGGGGGGAGCAGGGGGGGGTAGGGGGGAGCAGGGGGGTAGTGGGGGAGCAGGGGGGAGCTGGGGGAGCAGGGACAGGGGAGAGCAGGGGGGGCAGAAGGGGGAGCAGGAGGGGGAGCAGGAGGGGGAGCAGGAGGGGGGAGCAGGAGGGAGAGCAGGGGGGGGAGCAGGGGGGGGGAGCAGGGGGGGGGGGAGCAGGAGGGGTGAGCAGGAGGGGGGAGCAGGGTGGAGCAGGGGGGAGCAGAGGGGGGGCAGGGAGGGGCAGAGGGGGCAGGGGGGGGAGGGGGGGGGTGAAGCAGGACAAAACGAAAGACGAGGCAACTAACACCCCAAGTCTGGCTCCCTATAAGCAAAGTGGGGCCGATGCGGGGCATCCTGAAAGGCAAAAAACCTCTTGCCTTCCAGCAACCTAAACCGCGCATGCAATGCTGAAGCTGCCTGCACCTGAATATCAATTTCAGTGGACTGGGTGAAATTGAGTACAAGCAAAAAACACCACTCGCAGGACTCCAGGTCAAAGGTGTCAATGACCCAACAGGAAGCATGGCGGAGGCAAAGACAGAGAGTGTCACCCTTAGACAAGGGGATAGAGCAACCTTCAAACTCGCACGAAATGAGGTAAGACTCTGAAGTTTCCTTCATCGGACTAATTTATTTATTTATTTATTTATTTATTTATGCATATACAAGAATGTACATAAGGAATGTGAGGATACAAATATGGTAATTACAGTCTTGTAAAGCCACTAGCACGCGCAGCGTTTCGGGCAGGTCCTTAATCTAAGAAAATTTTAAGGAGGTAAATACTTGCAAAAATTATAGACAAAAAAATGATAACAGATTACATGAAATGAAAAAAAGATGAGAGAAAATTGTAGGTACAGTATATTAAAGCACATAGGTAGCTGAGATTGATTGCAATGACAGCTTGAATGGTAGTTGACAAAAAAAATTGGTAGGCACAATACAGCAGAAACAATATAAGATTGGTTGCAATGACAGCTTGAATGGTAGTTGACAAAAATTGGTAGTCACAATACAGCATATGGCTAGCACATAGAAGAAGACAGCAATGAACACAATGATAAGGTTGTTTGATATTACATAAAAATTAGGAGATTGGGTAACACTAGGTACAGAGCAAATTCAAAGCTCAGTGTAGGAAACTAAGAAGATGAAGTTAGGTACTTTTTGGTTTTGCTTTTAAATAAGGCAAAAGCCCAAATACAGGTTTCCAGGGCCCTTAGGCTGACTGCTAAGGAAAGCCTGAGCAAAGTACAGCTAACCAGGTATCCCAGAACTACCAAGCATGCTCACTAAAAGCTGAACCCCTGCGACGTGTGCAAGCACGGGGACTAAGTGGAGGGCCACCAAAATCGTACAAGTGGTCCTACAGCCACACCAAGCAGACCCCTACCAGGCAAAAAAAAAAAAAAATGTCTCCAGGGGAACAGAACCGGTCACTATGCGTATATCAGACAACTGCACAGTGCCTTGCACCCAAGCCAGTGACTATACTACCTCCTACCCAAGGTCAAACAAGAGAAAGAACCACCCCAGGTGAACCCCAAGGGCGGGAAATCACCGAGCAGCGTCAGAACCACACGGACGTAGACTCACCTGAATGGCTCATGGAAGATAAACCTAAGCAGTAAAGGCAGTACTTACAGGGCACCTAGGGAAGGTGGCCCTAGGTGCATGCAGCCATAGTACTCTTGTGTTACTCCTGGCTTGCACACCACTAACACAGAACAACAACACCGCTCTGCAGCACTGCTCAAATGATGGAGCCAGAGTCGATCGATCGACCATCACCAACACAACAGCCTCTTCAACCAAGGTGCATAACCAGCACAGAGGTCTGACCCCATCCCCTCCCGGGGAGGGGGAGTTGTGCAGATGGCTGTGCGGCCGTTGTGGTGGTGTTATGCTTGTTTGCTTGTTTTTGATTGGGAGGTTCTGCTTGCTAGTTTGGCTTTTGGTATGCAATTTTTAACCAGCTATAGTTTGTTTTGGAATTCCTACCTTTGTGGGTGCCTGACCTAGTAGATGGCAGACAAAGACTGCTTTCAATTACATGAGGTGTCTATAAGCCATTGCTCCTCATGCCTCTCATGAGGGGGGCCAGGTTTTGGCTCTGGTCCTCGGTAGGCCTAGAACTCAATCGATTGACCGTTGCCATGGTTTAATAATTGCACATCAGCTCGATATAGCTCCGAGGAGCTGAAGAGGCTCTCCACAGTCAATAATTATATAGAGGTATTATACAAATATGAATACCAAAATATAACATGCAAGAATGAGCAGCACTAACTGTTTAAAGGCAGAATGGTGAGATGTAAACCGTAGATGAACATAACCAAATGGAGACAAAACTGTTAGGTACTCTACAGGTTGATACTTATGTTGAGCAGAACTGGCATCCTCAACCACCATATTTCTCTGAAATAAGGAGGAGAATATATTAATTAGTTTTTACATAATTATTGACAAAATGGACTGTCGAATCTCTAAACTAATTGGGATTGGACGATGGTTGGATCCTCTTCAGATTCAGATAATTCAAAGATTTAAATTACATAGTGAAACCCTAATAGCAAAGTAATTACTTAAGTGTAATTACAGGAAAAGTGCTACTCTTGTGGTGTCCCATATTCTCTTTTTCGTATAATGCTTTGAAACTACCGACGGTTTTTTACTCCAACTTCTCGCTTAGTTTTCTCCAACAGTCTACCACTGTTTGCAAATGAAAGCTTTCTAATATTTTTTCGACACCTGTTTCCGTAGCAGGTGTCCTCTTGTTTGTGAAGTTGCTGGTTTCAGGAATTCCTCTGACAATTTGGTTGATTCCTGTCAGTGGTGATCATATCACCTCTTTTTCTTCTATCTTCTAGTTTTGGAATGTTTAATGCCTCTAGTCTCTCCTTATAACTATTTTTCAGTTCCATAAGCCATTTTGAAGCATGCGATTACATCTTTTCCAGTTTTTTTTTATGTGCTTCTTGAGATTTGGCCACCATACAACTGCTGCATATTCCAATTTTGGGCTCACAAAATTCATGAACATTTTCTTTAGATTTACCATCTATATAATTAAAAGCATGTCTGAAGTTGGAAAGCAATGCATACGCTCCTCTCAATGTTTTTTGTGTTCTTCTGGCAACGGCTTACTATCCAAAACCCACCCCTAGATCTCTTTCTTTACTAAAGTTCTGTAATTTCTATCTACACAATTCATAATTTGTAAGTTGTGTTTGGCCTATTTTCTCTGATTCGACATTCCATAACATGGCATTTATTCACATTGAATTCCATTTGCCATTTGACGCCTCAAGCACTTATTTCATCAATATCAATTTGAAGAGAATAGCAGTCATCTGTGTCCCCTATCTTCACACAGTCACACATCACCAGCAGGTGATGCCACCTCCATCACAAAAATGGCTCCTCCCAACATACTCCTTTTGCTGTTATACACAAGTTATATACTGTATAAGCATCTACATTAGTGTTCACCATAGCAAACCACTAAGCTGGTATGGTGAGTCCAGACAATAACAGGTTGCTACACATGCTAAAAAAAAGGCTTTCAACAGAGTTCCACATAAGAGGTTGTTCTGGAAACTGGAAAATATTGGAGGAGTGACAGATACGCTTCTAACATCGATGAAAAATTTTCTGATAGAAAAATGAGGGCTGTGATCAGAGGCAATGTATCGGACTGGAGAAATGTCACAAGTGGAGTACCACAGGGTTCAGTTCTTGCACCAGTGATGTTTATTGTCTACATAAATGATCTACCAGTTGGTATACAGAATTATATGAACATGTCTGCTGATGATGCTAAGATAATAGGAAGGATAAGAAACTTAGATGATTGTCATGCCCTTCAAGATGACCTGGACAAAGTAAGTACATGGAGCGCCACTTGGCAAATGGAATTTAATGTTAATAAATGAAATGTTATGGAATGTGGAATAGGAGAACATAGACCCCACACAACCTATATATTATGTGAGAAATCTTTAAAGAATTCTGATAAAGAAAGAGATCTAGGGGTGGTTCTAGATAGAAAACTATCACCTGAGGACCACATAAAGAATATTGTGCGAGGAGCCTATGCCACGCTTTCTAACTTCAGAATTGCTTTTAAATACATGGATGGCGATATACTAAAGAAATTGTTCACGACTTTTGTTAGGCCAAAGCTAGAATATGCAGCAGTTGTGTGGTGCCCATATCTTAAGAAGTACATCAACAAACTGGAAAAGGTGCAAGACATGCTACTAAGTGGCTCCCAGAACTGAAGGGCAAGAGCTACGAGAAGAGGTTAGAGGCATTAAATATGCCAAAACTAGAAGACAGAAGAAAAAGAGGTGATATGATCACTACATACAAAATAGTAACAGGAATTGATAAAATCGATAGGGAAGATTTCTTGAGACCTGGAACGTTAAGAACAAGAGGTCATAGATATAAACTAGCTAAACACAGATGCCGAAGAAATATAAGAAAATTTACTTTCGCAAATAGAGTGGTAGACGGTTGGAACAAGTTAGGGGAGAAGGTGGTGGAGGCCAAGATCGTCAGTAGTTTCAAAGCGTTATATGACAAAGAGTGCTGGGAAGACGGGATCACAAGCGTAGCTCTCATCCTGTAACTACACTTAGGTAATTACCAGCCAACAAACAACGCCACCTCTCCCCCTCACCAAGAATACCCCTCTCACCATACTATGCACATCGCTGATTCTCATCACAATCCTGCTATTATCAGAATCCTGGTCACTAAATCCTCTAAATGAATAATTTTCCACAAGTTTATTTCATAAAGGAACATGAGAAGTTGTTTAAAGATTCTTAGATGGACAATATAATGACAGTGTGCTGAGGCTAGTGCTATGAACATCTTTAACAGCATTGATTCACTGATATCTGAACATTGTACACAGTCTTTAACACAGTTAGGCTCTTCTGTAATACTATCACATGAATAAATAATACCAGATACATATATATATTTTGATATTTTTAGGCGATACTGTGGTCACAAGCTGAACAGCAGTGCCGTTAGTACTGCAGTGCCTCACTCAGTACTGAGGCTCCCCCTCCCGGGAATGTTGCTCAAAATTAAAAAAAAAAAAAAAAAAAGGTGTCTGTTTACAAGAGCCCTGACGAAGCTGATGTGAACCCCCTGTAGCTGCGGGTGTTTCCTTTTTTCCCTGGCATTTCACTGCAATTTCCTGGCATTTCTATGCACGTCCATCATGTTCTTCACTCCATTAAACATCACCCTTAAGGGGCAATTCTTGTCTTTCTCATATTTTCCTATTCATCTAAAATCACTGACATTTTCCTTTGAGCTTTCTCCTAAACCTACTATTTTCTCTATGATTTTCATTCTCTTCTGCTGTTCGGTCCACCCTAGATGAAATTTTCTTCTCTAAACATCCAAACACTATTATGAACTTACTTCTATCTGCAGTGTTTTGTACCAATTTACTGTTGGTTACCAGTTCTTACCCAATTGGTTGCCTAATTTCTGCTTCTTGTTGGTCATTTCTGGTTTTGACTTCCAAACACACTTCCTTGATTGTTTCTCTCTCCTTTACAACTTGGGCATATGTTGCTTTTATTTCTTCTTTATACTTTTCTAGTTCTTTATTAGCCTCCTCTATTTGAGTTGCCAATGAAGTTTCTCGTTGTGTCTCCTTGCCTAACTCCATATTAGCCCTCAGACTTCCTTCGAGTTGTTCACCATATGAGTATTTTCTAGTTAATATCTTAAAATTCCCTACTCTTCACTTTCCATGCCTCATTATCCTTTACTAGTTCCTTGATGTGTTCCTCCTGCATCCTTACCTTATCAGTCAAGCTGGAAATTTCCTTACCTTGCTGGGAAATACTTTCTTTTAAATTACAAAACTCAATGTTGAGACATTCATCTTCTTGTTCCAATTTAATAACCTTTTCTTCATAATTCTTTAGAAAGTCCTCAATGATCACTAACCTGCCAAGAAAACCCCCTTTCATTGCATCTTGTTGTGAGAAACCTGCAAAAGATCCCTTTGTTGGGGTACTGTCTTCCCCTGTGGTGGCGGCCTTTTTTGTTTATCTTCTGCTGTTTTGAAAGATCAACTTTTCTACCCAGGAGTTTTCATTCACTATCACTTATTTCTTATCTCTTATGTTATAAGAGTGTAGACACAGCGGTGTTGGGTAAGATGCCGGCAGCATGGCTAGTGAAATATGACTGGAGGTGCATTTGGAGGAGTAGAGCAGAGGTGGAGGCGGAATCACTACGAGCCACCCCACACCCTAATTGAGATAGAGAGACAAGGAACAGACCTGAAAAATACAGTCCAGAATCTCCCAGTATCCAGGGAGTCATAACTGCAGATATATGAATAGGTAGTGTGGCGCATGTCCTGAGATAAAGGTCGCGTAACACCAAAACGTGTTGACACTGTCCATGACAAAATGAACACCCCGAGCCATTCTCAGGACACCTGAGGTCCGAGCTGGTTGGTTCCACCCCGCATTGAGGGAGGGGGATCCCACAATGGGCATTTATCGAGATAAGACGTGACCATAATTTAAGGACAGATACTACTTAAAATAGAATAGTACCACCGAAGAGGACCAATTATTCTCATAAAATATTGGAGGCAATCCTCACTGGAAGCAACAGAGGTTCCAATAATATTTTAATTAAGGAACTCCATCTCGAACCTTCCAGACCCGAAAATTGTGCACAAAGTCACATAGGCTCATATGGGCCCATAGGCATACGGGACCAATGGATACGAAGGATGCTGGTGAAATAGGATCCAAGGACTCTGATATAAAATTGCTGTTAAAATGTGCCACAGGAAGGGCGGAGCCGATAGACCTGAAGGGACATGGAACCAAAAACCGACTCGTACATAGGGAAGGAGGAGAGGGTAGAAACCCCACTCCACGTAACAGTAAGCCCCACTCGGAAGGTAGGAAAACCCAAGAGGGGTCCAATGGGGCCCTAAGGCCCCCCACTCAGCCCCTTCCCAACCCTGGGAGCCACCACACCAGGACCCTGAGCTAAATTGGCCTTCAAAGCCCCGGCCTCTAAAGAAAAAACTGGGGCAGCCTTAAAAACACTAACGAAGGGGGCCCACTAGTCAAACTCATACGCAACGGTTAGAGGAACTTACTCGAATGCCTCTGTCACCACCCCAGAAGGTGCATCCCTCGAGACTGCCCGAGTCTCAAAACCAGCTAAACCCTGCCCCGACCCCAAAGCCTTCAGACCCCTCAGAGCTGGAAGCAGGAGGGGGGGAGGGGGACAAGAAAGCACCACAGCAGGGAAAGAACGAGGGGAAGCGGACCAAACCAAGGCCGAAACGAACCACACCCATAAGTCCAGGACCCAATAAGCAAAACTGGGCAGCCACGGGGCTTTCGGGG